GGACAGACAGAAGCCTGCAGGCATGGCAAGGTACTCTCGGGAATTGTCAGTAATATGGAATGGCTGGATAGGGGTGGCAGCCCTTGTGAAGGAGTCTGAACTTATCCTTCACAGTTTTAAAGACAGTGTAGAGAAGAGTTAAAAACTGATTGTTTCCAGGCCCCTGGCCTAGAGGGGATGAATTCTTGACCAAGGACAACACCAATGAGAATGGAAAAAGATGAGTTTAAACAAGAGTACAGAATCAGGTAGATTGGCGGGATTTGGGGCCCTTGAGGGCTAGTTATGAGGAACTGAGATTATAGTTGTGAAAACGCACTTTTAAAATAATATGTATATAATTATATAGCCGTGCTGCAATTTGATTCTAGGCATGAATAATGAGGCTCCATGCTCCTTTACAGCAGAATTACCCTGATTATTGGGCCAGACGACAGTGTGGTGACAGCACCACAGGATAATGTGATAGCTTTATTGCAATTTATGCTTCTCTACCTCCCTCCCAACTTCCCACCTGACCATCAGTACTGGACAGTTGGTGCCTTTGTGTTTTATAGTAAACAATGAGCACTCTATGAATGAGCTTTTACAGCCCGTTGTTCAAAATAGCAAATTCCTAAGAGAGAGTTTTAAAGTGGGAATATAGACTCCATCCCATCATTTTACAGAAGAGCAAACCAACACCCGGATCATCTAAGACTCATCTAAGAGCAAGGGAGAGAGAGAATTATGACTGGGTGTCTTGGAAAACTTTGCAGGAGCTCTTTGCTGCCATCTTTGTAGGATATGCTTGCTGACTGGCACGAGAAAAAGATTAATAATCCAGGGTACTTGTAACTCAAGGAATATCCCTTCAGAAAAAGCAAAGGGAGGTCCTGGATGGGTCCCCTATTCCCCTCTTAACGGCAGGTAAGTCAGCAGCTCCTTTCAGGGGTAGGAACCTTCATCTTCTTCAACATGAACATTTCTAGTTTAAGGGCCGGAAAGTTTCTAGTTTAAGGGCCGGGTAAACAGTCTTGTTACACATGTCAGAGATGAAGATACTCCATCTTTTTATTGCACAAGGTTATGTCAACAACTCTGACATGACAGTTACGCATCCATCGCTTTGTCATCCGCAGCACAATTTGGTTTGGAAGAAGGGCTGAATTCCTTGTTTTGAATACCTGGAAGGATCGCTGATATCCTCTGTCAGTCTCATATATCGTGATCTTTAGCTACTACCACTTCTATACTGTGGTCAATTGTCCTCTGCCAGGGCAAGACCTGTGCGGTTTCCTTACAATTTATATCCTTAATGATAATCTTCTCTCGCCACGAATGCTATTCACCCCATGTTCCAGATGTACGGGGCCATCTTTTGACAAAGTGGTTGTTAATACACTGTGCCTGCAGGAGGCTGGGGAAGGGCCCTGTGCCTCTCTCCGGGCGGCCCCTCTTCCACATCTCTCAGCCTGATGGGGACGCACATGCAATCGCTGAGGCGAGGTGAGAATGGGGCCGAGGGTACAGGAAACGGGTGAGAAGAACAAAGCTGTGATGGGACAGCCAGCTTGTCAGTGACAGTGTACCCTGGGCTGCACACTTGTTTCTAGCCTAAGGTACTGGTTATGTTGACACCCAAGAGTATAAAATATCTCTGGTCCCACCCTCTACTTGCCATGGAGATAAACTCATGCTTATCCCAAGAAAGAATCTCTTACATTTCTGGGTAATTATCATAAGATGCTCTGCAAATAAAATAAGAGTTTTTAAAGATCAGTTACCCCTACATCTCTATCATGCTAGTTTTTTTTTAGTGTTTGTTTCTAGTCTGGCTGATACTCCTCAACTAAGGAAAAATAATATTCTCTATCTCTTTTTCTCATAAAAGGTGCCTTGTGATCACTGGATACTAGTGCCCTATTTTCCCCCTTATTCCTTTCCAGTTCACCTTTTATTTGAAAGGTGCCCACTTTCTGCCCACTTTTATTATTTATTCACTTCAAGGCACCCACATTTTCTTCTGCGTATCCCATGAGAAGAACTATTTCTGACAAAGCTTCAGCCCATGCTACCGTTCATTAGGTTTATAGTTCCCTTCTAAGGACTCGGCAAGATCAGCGTTCTGAGTTTGCATTACATTTCAAAGCAGAGAAAAATATTTCCCAGTGTTATATGAAGCAGAATGTCCTAACTGTATACAAAATAGTCTCTGCTCTTGAAATGCAAATCAGAATGGGATGAACAACAGGAGCACGAACACAAAGGGACGTTCAGGTGACCTGTAATATGAGTTACTGCTCAGCCACCGACTGCAAGGACAGTCCCTGAGGTAAAAAGCACCCTGTGCATATAATTATCATGGGTATGAAAATATTGAGCAAACACACTGCTAGACTTTTGTCCCTTTTTCACATAATTTGGAAGCATGGCATAAGAATTTCTTTAATCGTTTCCAAATTTGTGAGTGAAATTTCATTTGTAAGGGATTTTAAGAAAACAAAAGTCTCCAGCCTAATTAACTCCAAATTTAATTCAACATTTTCCTTTTATTTACTATAAAATATCTAGAGGTTTAAACATTTTCAAAATCTGTATAGATGTTATGGGAATGTAATTAATGATCTGCAGAGCACATAAATCCCAGCAAGACACTTTGTCAAATTATCTCATCTTACTCATGATCCTTTTATCCCACCAATTTTTCTTGGTTTCTGATTTCACGGAGTTGGGATTAAGTCAGTGCATTCCTCCCACTGCATAATTAGGACTGCTTTAAAACTATGTAATTACAAACCTCAACTGCCAATTGTGCATTGCATTCATTGTCATAACTGCCATTAGCATGGTTTTAAATTCTTTCAGGACAGTGGGGAAAGATGTCATGTTAATAAGTTCCACTGCTATATGTCTGCTATCGATTATCTGCGGCAATTATAGACTTGGATGGGATCCAAAACTAGACACAGAACCCAGGAAAATGCCAATGTTTTGTGAACCTAAAGGAATTTTTAAGGAAAAAAAAGTTCTTTAAAACAATAAAACTGGATGAAAGGGTTAGTATAAGATTTTAAAAGTATGCAATGGCTGGCTTGCTTTTATAAATGGGTACAGATCTAATCTCTTGGTCTTCCTGGGAGGGGAGAAGTATTTTGGGTAGTTATCTACTCTAATTTTGATTACCTTCTACAGAAATTAAAATAGTATGAAGGTGTTCCAAAGCCTGATTTGACAGCGTCTGCTCTGTTCACTCCCACTGCTGGTCAGCCCACAGTCCCCTCCCTTAGCACGAACCTCCAATATCCCAACTCCCTCTTCTTCATCAGCGTCTAGAGATGGTAGGTAGACCCACTTAAAATTGATGTGAAGTCTTCCTCATCCAGAAAGCTCACCCTGATGAGACTTCAGTCACGTATTTCCCAATTCTGAATACAAAGCAAAAAAAAACTTTTCATGATTAAAAAAACAAAAACAAAAACCCTCACAAACTCTTTTTTAAGAAACTAAGGTGTTCATAATCCCCATGTAAACAATTTCCTTTGGAGTAAGCCTTTAGTATGTGGAAGTGCATGTATCAAATGGTAAACTCTATGATTTTGCTGGTATCCAAGTTTGATTCACTAATTTAAATCCATTTTAGCTATTTTCATCAAGTTTCTTTGTTAAATCTCTTTGGACAATCAACATGCTTTGTTATAAATTACTTTGTTATAAATTACTAATTTAAGAGAAACCAAAAACTATATATAACAAATTCAGGAGCTCCAATCAAGTTCTGGCCTGTCATTATCCACATTATATATATATAATATATATAATAATTATATATATATATAATATAGATATCACATATATAAATTATATATATTATATATATAGTTTATATATTATATATATATATGAGTGCAATGCACAATTGGCAGTTGAGGTTTGTAATTACATAGTTTTAAAGCAGTCCTAATTATGCAGTGGGAGGAATGCACTGATTTAATCCCAACTCAGTGAAATCAGAATTTTATATATTTATATATATTACATATATTACATGTTATTTTCTTTAACATCTTTATTGGAGTATAATTGCTTTACAACGGTGTGTTAGTTTCTGCTTTATAACTATATATGTTATTAATATATTAAATATATTAATATAATATATATTATATATCTATTATATATATGTACAATGTGTGTGTGTATATATATATATGCACACACACACACTTTGATCATTATAATTTCCCCGCTATGCATTTCTAAATGGTTATAAATGAACTGAATTGTGGTGGGAAGAGGTCCCGGGGATCTTAACAACTACAATAACTCTCTTGTAATTTGCTGAAAGCAAGTGATTTCAGTATTGATTTACTCTTTTACTTGAAGTTCATAACAAAAGCAAACAGGTAGATTTTTTAAAAAATCTACAGGTTGGTAGATCTTTAAGGCCTTGCACCTAGATAAATTCTTACTTCAGACTAAGGAAATTAGCTTTTGAAGCAAAGAGGGTGGGAAAAAAAGCCAGCTTTGCACAAACTGAGAGTTCAGTCCACCTGTTTGAATAAGTAGTTTTAGACAATTGTGAGTCAGGTTAATAATGAATACAGAAAGAATTATTATTAGCATTGTGACTTACTCTGTGAAGATGCACTGAAGTAAAAAAGAAAACTTAGGAATAATTAATTGGTACCTCTCCCTCTCTTCCTCGAATTTGGTTTGTAAATAGGGATATCCAGCTAGCTGTTTCCTATCTGGGTGTTGGTAGTTTGTAGACATGGTCTCCTCCCTGCAGCTTTTCAAGAGGAAATGTCAGGTTATGTGGCAAATGATTAACTCTGTCACCCTGGATTTTGCATGCCTGCTTTTAAGTGTGATGGGCTTCAGTCTTGCAATGGAAAAAAAAATACAAAAGTCACCTTAAGTCTTACAGGGCAACAGTTTTAATAGTCCACGCTACAACAGGCAGTACAGTTTTGCAGTTCAACATTAAAAGCAATCCTGCCTTAATTAAAATGCTTCTACTTAAGAATGCTTCCTGCTCTCTCCCATCCCTTCACTTAAGGTGTGTCTACAGAAGTACTCCTAAAGTGCATTTCTCAGGCATTAAAGATAGCACTGTGATTTGCTTTCCAATAGCAAGTTCGGAATCAGAGCATGCCTTTCTCAGTGGAGGGCTGCGCAATTCCAGTTGAGCTAAGGTCTCTTACAAAAGTACCCTTCTCACTCCCACGGGCGACGCAAAGGAGGCCACTGAAGTTTTTTGAAAAAAATTGTGCCATCTTCCTCTGCGGTATCTTCTCTTACCACGAATAAATATTTAATGCATCCTTGAGTCGTGATATACGGAACACGTTGTTTTGTCACGTCAATTTCCAGGAAAATAAACTCTGGAGGCCTTGTGCGAATATTCTGAATTTGGTGGGATGAGACTCCAAGAACAGGGGCGGGGCAGAATTCTCGGGTTTAGACCTGGGGGTTGGGGAGGCGTGGTGCGAAGAGAGTCCTGGAGCGCTCGGGCTACTGCTTGTCCTCGTGCGGGTCACCAGAGAAGCTCGCCTCCTCCGAGGACCTGACTCCCTCGGGGAGCAGAGTGGCGCGCACTTTCCTCTTCTCCTTAAAGCGGCCCGAGCGCGAGATCTTCAGATTTCGGCGGCTGTTGCCCGATTTCTCCCCGCCCAACTTGTCTGGCTTGTGGGGCTCGCCGGCGCCCCCGAGGAAATTGGGATGCTGATTCTCCCGGGTACTGCTAGTCCAGTCGGGGCCAGGCGGGGCGGGCGCCGCGGGTTCCCCGGGGTCAGGCTGGGCGGGAGGCTTCGCACCCCCCGCGGCGTCCTTGCTTTTCTTCCTGCTGTTCTTTAACGAACTCCACCAGGAGCCCGAGCTGCCTGTGCCGCCGCCGTCGGCCATGGCCAGCGGGCCAAGTGGCGGGGGGCGCGGCGAGCGGGGAAGGGCCTCAGCGGCAGCGGCGCCTCTCTCGTCCACCTCGGCCCTGCCCCGGCTTCTCGCAAGCGGGCTGCGGGCTGGGAGCCGCCGAAGCAGAGGCTTGTGCTGGGGAGGAAAACAAAACTTCGTTACTGGGTTTGTCGAAGTCACGTGCCCCTCAATCCCACTTCCTCCCCTTGGCTCCGTCTGGCACCGGAGCGGCTGGGGTCCGAGGGTCCGCAGCCGCGCGGGCCGCAGAGGGCACCGCCGCGCCCCCCCCCACCGCCCCCCGCCAGGGCGCAGGCGGACGAAGGGCTTCCGGGGCGCCACCCTCTGGTCTCGAGACTGAGTCTTGGCACTCCCTGGCCTCAGCCTTAGTCTGGCTTCCAGGATAGCGCAGTGGTCCGCGCGCGAGGGCCACCCAGGGGTGGGTGCCGGGGCTTCTGGATTAACCAGGCCTCAGAGGGAAAATGGCCTGTCCTGTCACTCCGCCCGTTTGTAGGCGAAGCCCAAAGGTGACCCACCGGGTCCAGAAGGGCACCTGCGAGGAGGGCGCCCGGAAGCAAGCGCGCCCCCGCTATAGGTGAGCCATGAACATTAGATCCCTGTCAAACAGTTCCGAAATTTCCCTCAAAGGTTTTTGCTCCCTGGACTTCTGTCCCGGGATCCTTTTTGATGTGATTCTTCGGGGGCGGGGCGGGGCGGGGCGTGGGGGGCGGATTTACAGGCCAGTAAGAGCGAGGGACAAGCTCATGGTGTTTGTTTCTTTTAAATTCTGCTTTCGACAAAACTTCTGCCTGATGACCTTCAGAGAAGCATGTCTAGACCTAACTTCCCTTGAAAACCGCCATCCTAACGCTTCCTTTTATTCCCCAGAGACCAATCTTGCGTCTCTTTGAAGCCACCCGCTGCCTGCGGTTGAGATGAGCCCAAGTCCCCTTCCCTTAGTTCTGTATTAAAATATGCACCGCGTCTGTTTGTACTAGGCAACTCAACTCATGGGATTTTAAGTTACAAATTAAAGGCTTCTGTTCTTTTCCTTGCGCAATTCCCTCCCCCAAAGGAGAGAGCGCACAACCAGGAACTCCAATTTGCCTCTTCCCAGCTTTTAAAATAGCACTGCGGAGCGAAAAGGCTGTTTGTTAGCACTTAAGGTGCGAATATCGGAAGCGAGACTCCTCTGCTCATTTTCTGTGCTGGGCACTAACTCCACGAACGAGCAGGATTCGCTGGCGCCGCGGCTCATTTCCAGGTTTCCGCTGGGCTCCTTCCCATCCCACGCGCCCGGCGCTGCTGGGATTCGACCGCTCTGGAGAGCGAAAATTCGGCGGTGTCTGTGGTTTGGAGGTTCTCCTTCCCCAACCGGGGTGAGACAGCCGGAGGGCCTACGCCGGCGGCCGCAGCGGCCTCCCCTGAGCAAGGAGACCTTGGCACCAGCTCCTCCCCAGAACGCCCCGAGGGCACACTCGACTTGAAAACAATAGAAGAAAAAATGGCCAAAAGTTCTTTCCTTACAGAAGGCACCCACACCCTCAGGCACAGTTTGCAGTTGGGTTTGCAAACATCCATTCCCCCTCCGCTTTATAGATCGGAAAAGCACCCCCAACTTATTCACTGGTGGTGGTGGTGGTGGTGGTGGTGATAGTGGCGGGTGTTCCTGATGCTACTTTCAGTCTTCTACCCTACGCTTTCTTCTCCACAATCAACGTTGTATGCACGGAAGGGTTTTGCACGAATTGCTCATGGGAAAGATTGCAAATTACGCAGAACGCCTGCAGCTAGTAACTTCTCCTCGGGCGCTGGGGGAGCGCCCCAGCGTGACACCCCGGAATGGGCTCTGTCTTGGCGGACGGAGAATCACCCTGATCGCTCACCTGCTCGGGCTTCCCAGGACCCCGCGGCTCTCTTCCCGCGCAGAGTCGGGAGGGGGTGCGCTTGGGTTAATCTGGAAGTCGGGGCGCGGCGTCCCTCTGCGCGGTCTTGGAGAGGTCGGGTTTCTTTCTGGAAGGTGTGCTAGCCGAAATCGCCGCAGTCCAGCTAAGCCGATTGCTGTTGCTGGTCTCCCCTGGCTCCTCCAGCTTCCTGGCGCAGCGGCGGCAGTAGCCCGGAGCTCGAAGTACTGTTGGCTCCGACCGGAGGCCGCCTCTGCGAGTGGGTGCCAGGCTCACTGCCCCAGGTGAATGGCCAGGCAGGCTCTCCCGCCTAGTAGCCTTTCATTCTCCCTTTCCCTGATAGCGCCGCCCGGGAGCCGCAGGGAGATGGGATCTCAGGGGCTCACTCTGATGCATTGAAGCTCCCTACCGCGTCGGTCCTCCGCGCGGGGAAAGACATCTGCTCACCTGCTGGTTATTCGCCAAGTGATTCTAGAAACCAGAGCCCCGGGGCAGCGGGAAGAAAAAAATAATAACCCAGGAGGCGGCCACTGCTGCCACAGGTGCAGGTAGGAAGTTCGCGTTCCCGCCTTCCAGGGACGAGATTGGACCAGGTCGCCTACGTGGCGCCAGCCTTGGGATGTCTGATTGGAGAAAGGCTGCGTGCGCCTCTCGCGAGTCGGACTCCTGAAGAAGAAACAGTAGAGGAGACCGGAGGCCCGGAGACCGAGGCTGCAGGTGGGCTCCGGCGGATAAACGTCGCAGCTCTCTCTCCCTCTGCCCCTACCCCAATTTCTTTTTTTCCTTTCCTCTCCGCGTCCCCAACCGTGGCCACTCAGCTCCCAGAATCTCAAGTTCTGTAACTTACAGAAGCCGTTCCATACCCAGGCACAATGTTGCAGAGTTGCAGGCGCCCTGAGTTGAAAGGCTGTAATATTAAAAAGTTCGTTATGTGCCAGTCAGGCGCTCTTCCAAGCGCTTTCTGTGGATTAACTTATTTACTCCTCCTCACAGCAACCCTAGGAGGTAAGAACTATTGTTATCCTCACTTGAGGATAACTTAGCTCTGAAAGGCTAAAGGGTTGCCCAAGGTTGCACGGCTGGTGAGTGGCAGAGCCGGATTTGTACCCTGGAGACCTGACTCCGGCTCCCGCGGTCTTAACCGGCACCTTATACCGCAGCCTGCCAGTCAGTGTCGGTCTTTTAGCGTGACTCAGTGAGGATGTGAATTTCCTTCCCTCAGGTCTAGAAGTCCGTGGACAGCCACCGCGCCTGAGGAGTACAGATCCAGCCCTGAGCTGGAAGTCAAGTGAACCCGCGGATGGCGTCAAGTTTCAGGAGGCTTTTGTTCCCAGGAGCATATGGGTGCTTTTTATTACCTGGACAGAAAGGTTTTGACATAGGGCATTTTCACTAATAAGGCAGAGGTGCAACCGGCTGCATCTTCTAGGATGCTTTTATTTTTCAAAGAACTATTTTGATGTTCACTGAGCTCGTGTGTAACTCCTCTGAAGGACTGCGTATGGAGCAACTGACATCCCAGCATCTTTGTTCTGAGGATTTTCTGAAGTGGTGAAGTAGTGAAAGACATGATGCCTACCTATTGCATAACTTACAATATGGAATTCATAGGAAGAAATTTTTATAGAGTATTTCAATGTATGAAATATGGTAAAAATATGAATATTTTATATCCTTAACTTAGTTTAGCATTCTTGGATTTTTAAATGATATGCACAGCAGCGTGTATTTGAAAGTGATACATTTTCATATATTTCTTGGGATTCGTTTTAGAGAGGAAACTTGCAATCGTAGCACCAGAACTGAACAAAGACAGGCCACCAACCATGAGAGGAGGACGGGATACGTCGTCATAGTGCCATCTCATTACAGAGGAGACACTGGACCAAGGAGGAAAGTCCTGTCTGAAGAACCCTCACCGCTAGAAAGTGGTGGAGCTGGGTTCCAAACATTGTTTGTTGATCAAATGGGTGAAAGAAGGAAGAAATTTAGGAAAAGAAAATGAGTCCTGCAAATGGCTTCTCATCTAGCATGATTTAACAGAGGGCCAGCATTTTCTAAATAGATGGACATCAGCTAACTGCTGAAATTAAAAAATTCATTCTCTTCCATCCCTCCCATTTATATTTAATAACTTTGAATATTTCTGTATTTCATTGACTTGATAACACCTTATAAATAGCCCTTGCATGCAGTAAAAACATTTAAATGGAGACATGAAAGCTAAGGAGAAATGAGGCAGAAGGGACTAGGGAGGTGGAGAATGGGTGTCCCTCCAGACAGAGGGAATAGCACGTGCAAAACCCATGAGCTGTGAAGGAGCTTAGGATTTTTAAGAAGCAAAGAGGTGGTCAGTGTGATCTGAGTACAAAGTGAACTGAAGCACTGCAGGAGACAAAGCTAGAAAGGTGGGTGCGACCAGACCCTTCAGGACCTGGTAGGAGTTTTGAACATAATCCAGAGGAAGTGACATGGTAAGATTTGCATTTAAAATATCACTGAAACTGTAAAGAGTGGATGGTAGAGTGGACAAGGTGGGGCTACAGGAAAACCAGTTTGGAACTGTTGGGGTAGTTCAGGTGGGATATTTTGATGGCTGGTGGGAGAGTGCTGGCAGTGGGGGAGGTGAGAAGAATTAGATGTATGCAAAAGAGATTTAGGAGGTAAAATCAACAGGACACGCTTTCATTCAGTTCATACAAAAGAGGAGCCTGAGTTTAACTAGAGGCTTAAAACAGATGCTTTTACAGTCTTCCTTGTAACTAGGAGCATGCATGTGATCTAGTTCTGACTTATGGGGCTATAAGGAAGACTTCTGGAAATGTTTCTTCCTAAATACAGGACAGAGCCTTCTGAGAGAAGAACATCTTTTGCAATACCCTTGATCCTTATGTTTAAGTACAGTGTGAGGATGTGCAGCAGCCATTGTGCAACAGTGAGGCAACAGACATGGAAATAAAACCCAGCACACGAAGGATGATGGCATGGGAGTGTGACAAGTGTCTGGGTCCTTCATGATACTGGTGAGCCCCTGAAAGAACCGTGGGATGACCTATCTCTTGACTACTAGTTCGGTGAGATAAGGCGGATTCCTATGATTTAACCACAGCTTTAAATACAGTTTTCTGTTACTTGCAGCACCAAACATTCCTTCTTGGTACAGTCTAGTAGAGCTATAGAAAAAACATGACATTGTTCAAAAGGCAAAAAGGTAGCGTTGTCACATTTTTTCCTTGACCAATCTGAAAAGTTCTTCCTGGAAGAAGGACTTAGTGAAATGTTTAAGTGATGGGGAAGTTTTTAGAGGTGGGGAATGCATCTGCAAAAGAAGGCACTTCATTGAAAAGGCTTGGAGTTGGAACTGCCCTGGAGGTCCAGTGTTTAAGACTCCACACTCTCAATGTAGGGGGCATGCGTTCGATCCCGGCCAGGGAACTAAGATGCCACATGGCAAGGCCAAAAAAAAAAAAAAGAGGCTTGGAGTTAAGGGAATGAGTGGATAAAGGTATATGTGTACATGTGTACATATGGTGGCGAGGAGCATCAGATTATCTGAGATCTCATGGTAGTTTGACTTTTAAAGATAGAATTTTAAATCAAAACAATTGACTTATTTTCCTCCATTTTTTGAATCTAGAACTGTTTAAATCTATAAAAATTTTCATAACCAATCCCATGAAAAAAAAACCCACCCCAGGGCTTCCCTGGTGGCACAGTGGTTGAGAGTCCACCTGCTGATGCAGGGGACACGGGTTCGTGCCCCGGTCCGGGAAGATCCCACATGCCGCAGAGTGGCTGGGCCCGTGAGCCATGGCCACTGAGCCTGCGCATCCGGAGCCTGTGCTCTGCAACGGGAGAGGCCACAACAGTGAGAGGCCCGCGTACCAAAAAAATAAATAAAATAAAATAACCCACCCCAAACCAAAAAACAACAAAGAGAGTTAGTGTTAAACAAATATAGTTGTGTTCTGTAACTATTGATCTAGGAATCCTGCTGTTTGCTTCTATAAGGAGAACATGGGCTGTCCTAAACCTCTGTGTTGGTAAGCTATGAATACAGTATAGATGCATTTAAAAGTTGATTTATCTACCCAGTGAATAGTAGGTGACTTTCAATGTTACAGAATTTAAATATGCTTAGATTGGGCATTGCTTACATTTCTTTATAATATTTTTTTCTTGTCATTTTTTACTTTTCAAAAATGTGTTCATGGTTTGAGAAAGGACACAGTTTCTTTCTTCTCTTCTTTTTTTAAAAAATTAAATTGTTGGGGCTTCCCTGGTGACGCAGTGGTTGAGAGTCCGCCTGCTGATGCAGGGGACACGGGTTCGTGCCCCGGTCCGGGAGGATCCCACATGCCGCGGAGCAGCTGGGCCCATGAGCCATGGCCGCTGAGCCTGTGCGTCCGGAGCCTGTGCTCCGCAACGGGAGAGGCCACAACAGTGAGAGGCCCACGTACCGCAAAAAAAAAAAAATTAATTAAATTGTTTCTTTCTCGGTGACCCTTTAAGTGCAATAAATGATTACACTAAAAGACAATAGATAATGAATTTCTAGAGAGCAGGATTTGCATACTAGAAATTAAAAGAGGAACTTTAGAAGTTCAACTTGGCATTTGCAATCCTAGCAAATCTGGCATTGTATCAGAGGCTGAGAAATTGATTCTCTTCCTTTAAAGCATTTATGGTGGGAACTGGGCAAAGGAAAACACATGATGAGAAAAGTTAAGAAATACAGCTAATCGGAAAAGATAGGCAGAACACTCTATAACATAAATCACAGCAAGATCCTTTTTGACCCACCTCCTAGAGAAATGGAAATAAAAACAAAAATAAACAAATGGGACCCAATGAAACTTAAAAGCTTTTGTGCAACAAAGGAAAACATAAACAAGACAAAAAGACAACCCTCAGAATGGGAGAGAATATCTGCCAATGAAGCAACTGACAAGGGGTTAATCTCCAAAATTTACAAGCAGCTCATGCAGCTCAATATCAAAAA